CGTCGAGTCTTTTGAGTAACAGACTTGTTTCACTAATGGAGCAAAATAATTTTGGAAATCTTAAAAGGAGTACTTCTCCCAATTAACTCTCATATCATTGGTTTTTATCAAAGATACCAGAGAACGGATATAAAAACGTTGTAAATTTTAGGCAAAAATCGGACATTCAGACTCTTTTATATTCATTTTATTTGATCTTTATAGCAGCATGAGAAAAATCAAATGAATTCTGGGGACAGAAAAATCGTTTAGTCTTAATTTATTTATTCATATTTGATTAATTACAGTGTCAAGGGAATTTTCAAAAAAAAGAGAAAAAAAGAACAGACGCGTTATACCTAAGAAGGATATAACTAGTTCCTATTACAACCTTCGTGAGATAATCCTTTTAGGCTGTTGTTGCTTATAAATCATTTAGAGTATTTGGACATCGATCGATAAATACGTCATTGTCGACAATTAATAATTGAAACTAATAAAAATCATGACAGTACTTTTTTTAAACTGGACTTATTTCTAAGAAAATTTAAATAAATTCTTTCTACCTGTGTTGAGTGTAGTGAAAAACAGAATCTGTTGACCAATGAAGAATACTAGTCTGTACCTTAAAATTGCTTCAAATATCAACTCATTGCTTTACTAGGCGTATAAGCCATAAGCTGTGAACGTTAGAAACTGAAATAAGAACCAACTTTATCGAGTAAAAGTTTTTCTTATATCAAGCTTAAGTATGGAAATGTGACAGTAAATAGTGTAACGGAATAATTGTTCGAGGCATCTATCCTTAACAATCTATTTACAATATGGATACTTATTTGAATGTTTTCCCATAGGCAGTATATCGTTGTTATGATACTTGCATATAAACTGTTGACTTAGTCCTTATTATTTACCTTTGTTCTTCTTTCATCCCCAGTTTACATGTTTCTCTTTGCTTTTGTGCGATGGGCTTGATAATTTGTTCCAATTAATTTGATTTTAAAGTTGAACTGTCTGTCATAAGTGTTTAGTGCATGATTCTTGATAAAAGAATATTCTTCTTGATACGCAAGTCCTAGTTGTGTCTGGTTCCGGTTAAACAAATTTGTCGTATAGTACTTATTTTGTTTTTTATATGTTTTGTATTTTTATTATTTTCATTGTGTGTTGAAGTTTCTGTAGAAGTTTAATTGGTTTTCTGAAGTAGAGTCGCTAGCCCAACGCCTTGACCTTAGAAAGGACTCCCGAATCGACCGTCACCTTTGAGTCGTCGAGAAATACCAACAACAGCTCGCACACAACTGCCTGCCAGTTGACACCAGTCCTTCAACGAATTCAGAAATTCTGAATGCGATAAAGCTACTGAATACTGGCCTGAAAGGCAGCAGCGCCAGACAGAATTCCCTCTGTAACACTAAAAATGGGCCCATAGACTGTGCCAGATGTGCTCATGCCATTATTGCAAAACGTTTCGAAGGAAGATAAGGTGCCTATCGATTAGAAGAAAGATGTGAATAAAAGAGAACAGGAGAAGAGAATAAAAGATTCACTGGATGAAGAACTCCGCCACCTACAGGAACAAGCTGAATTCAAGAAATGCGATTAATGAGCAGGTCAAATAGCAAATCTACGCATCATCATCAAACAAAGCATAGAATAGCAGTCAAATCTCTCTTTACCTCGACTTCATTGACTTCGAAAAGGCCTTCGACAGACAGAGCAGACCGTGAAGAAATTTGGTAACAGCTCCAGCATTATGGAGCGCAGTGTCCCAAATCTTTATCAGTCTCGTTCAACAGTTGGCTATATGACAATGTCACGTGTCATGTGATCTACAACGGGAAACTCAGCGATACCACTGAAGTGAATACAGAAGTGAAACAAGGCTGCCTATTACCATTGATGATATTCTTAATTATGGTGGAGTGGACTATTCATAAGTCTGTAGGGAGCGAGCAGTTCGGAATACGCTAACCGCCGATCAGAAGACTAGAAGATGAGGATTTCGCGCGTAGATGATTTATGTTTCGTGCCATACAAACTCGATGACTTGCAGGTGAAAATCAACAAACTGGTAAAAAAGGCTGGCAGCGGATACAGCAGTGCAAGTGAAAATAGAGAAGACGGAGGTTATGAAGATAACCAACCAACAATAACAAGTACCAGTCACCATCAATGGGGGAAACTTGAAAGAGGCAATTTTTTCACTAATCTAGGAAGCATCGTTCCAATCACTTGGAGGGACGGCGAAGATGTTAAATCTGTTCAGAATAGGAAAGGTAAGATATGCCTTCATTCACCTAAAACCAGTTTCGAAATCTTCTGCACTCAGCCCCAGCATAAAGAACAAGATCCAGATTTTCAACACAAATGTGAAGTCAATCAGTTCTTCTGTTTGAGTCACTCATTTGGCGCCAGCGTCTCGAAAAGCATTTCCAGAAAGGTACAGACTTCTATCATCAGTTTCCTTTGCTGGCTCTATATTGAAGACAAAATGGCCAAAAAGAATCACCAACAAGAAACCCTGGCCAGAAACCAGCGAAGAGGCGACTGCTCATCAAATATGCGAGAGAAAATGGTGATGGATGGGGCATACGATGAGGAGTTCGTCGATAGACATCATGCTCCAGGCCATTACTCGAATGGAATTCAAATGAGTCTACTTAGGATGACAAGGAGGAGAGCGTGCGAAGAGGATATGAGAGAAAATGGGCATTTGCAGACCCAGCTGAAGAGGAAGGCAGAAAACAGAATGAGGTGGAGATAAGTTGTTGAATCCCTATATTCCACTCGAAACCCAAAGAAATAATATCAATAATATTAAAACTGGTTTTGTACATGAGAACTCCTGATCTTTATGGCTTCTTAATGATACTGTTAAGGTTATTTTGAGTTTTTGATATGTTAATTATTGTTGAACTGTGACACATATCTCAAATAACTGTCTTTTTGCTGTAGACGTGGCACTTTAGGACTATGAGTAACTCAGGGAATTTTCGGTTAGCTATACAGTAAACATGAAAACGGACCACAACACGTTGGCTTCGGTCTCTACAAGTAATATGCTAAGCAGTACTAAACAGTTGGATACCTACATTCTGTTGCACTCAATCTAACTGAAAGAAAATCTGTCGTTGCAAACCAGAATTGTTGCCGAATTATTTTAGACAGTGGAAAATAACAGATCACAGACCCTAAAGTCAAGCTTTCTCATTAATTATTCGAGGATATGGATACAATTCGGCAGACAAAAACAGTAAGCTAAGTATCTTCGTTTTGGATATGATGATTAGAGCGGTTGATAATTTATTTGAAGGTTTTTTTTAAAATTACTTATAGCTGTCACTTAACAGTTTGTTTCAATAGGATTCTCACAAGCAGTTTAATTTCTACGGTTGAGGGTTTATTGCAGTTACAATGGGTAAGCGGAGAAAACCAATAATTTATGTAGCTTTCTAGTAACTATATAGTTATATTCTTGAAGTTATGGTAGGCAGACATCGGACCTGATGAAACAACGTGAAAACAGGTTTCTACAATAAGCGTATTAACTAATGACAATAAAATTTGGTGAAGTAACAAAGGAAACATCTCTCATCAGTCTTTACACTGCAGAACTTTGTTTTTACCTGTCACAAACCAGAGTAAACTCTTTTCTAGGGAATGAATCGATTTATTTCCACTTGAAAAGAAATATCTTCCGAATAAATCCTTCAAGTGGCTAAAAATAAATACATTTGTTTTACAACATAATAAAAAGTAATTTACCATTTTCAGACGTCCGATAGTTATCACGAGGCAGTATATATAGCACTTAACATTTCAGGTTGGTGGGAGTTCAAGTTTTGATTAAATAAATTCCAGTTCATATAGTTCATAGATAATAACAAGGTCTTACATATAGAATGCGTTTCGAATTCTAAAGTGAAATATAACTCTGACCTTCACCGAATTCACAAGTTAGTCTCAACGATTTTATAGTTAACGTTAATTCTAAAAAAACAGCACGCATAAGTCTGTAGGTCTTTTCTTCAAGCAAAAATTTATAAATGTGTTCATTAAAGCTTTTTTTGCCATGATGATATTAAGCAAAGCACGTGAATTTACACTGTAATGCAAACAGAGAATTAGATTATCTTCGCTTTCATGGTGGTTAAAGTTTTTTATCTGATAAAATATACAAGTTCGCCTACCTATAATCATAAAGGTATTGCTTTGTGAAGTGAATGAAAGGACTTGTAGCTCATGTGAATCTCTTTAGTATTCTTCTTTCCTCTAATTAAAATACCTTCAACTGAGCTTCTATTTCGGAAAAACCCTTATCAGTAATTAAATATATGTGAATGTCATTGATTTCGTACGTAATCTTGGCAAGTTACCGACTTCAGCTTTCGGTGACTAGATGTAGTTCAATCCAAGATATTTAAAAGAATGATGTCTGACAATATTCTCAAAAAAATGGTTTTAAAACGCTTTAGTTACAAAATAAACACGCAGTAATGAAGACTACGATGGTTTTAGCGACAACTTAATCACATACCAAATAGACGAAATCAAAGACATAGGTATTCAAGTGTTGATTTGTAGGGATTTGATTGGTTTACAGGATTTCATCATGAGCTGACATTAGTTAGAGAACCATTGGAAAACCTGGGAGTACTGGACAGTTGTTTCGTCCTAGTTTGGGACTCTTCATCAGAAGTTAGAATTCATGGACCATTGGATCGGGTCCCAGTGGCTTAATGGTCTACGAGCTCGCCTTGTAACCAGAAGGTCCTGGATTCGAATCCCGGTGGGTGCGTACTGATGGAGAGTCCCAAACTAGGACGAAACAGCTGTCCAGTACTCCCAGGTTTTCCAATAGTTCTCTGACTAATGTCAGCTCATAATGAAATCCTGTAAACCTGAGACATGGGTTTTGTGAAGAGATAATACAGAGTAAATTTTAGGATTCTTTACTAGCTGAATGACACATTATTACTTTGGAAGAAACAAATGCAGAAAGATAACACCTAACTTACTTTTCCTTGTTCTATCTTCGACGTTTGTTATTTGTTGAATTGACGGTACTACATCATCATAATTATTTTGTTTATTCGATTGTGAGCTAAAATTTTGTGCATATTTATGTGAAGAAGATGAGCCTGTATGTTCTGTTCGAAAATAATTTACATTGTGATTAATTTTCTGAAATTTTTGAACGTCATCTACAGTATTTGGCTCGTCGTCTTCATTCTCTTCCATTGACATCATTTTCATTCGATTAAGTGTATACATTCTTTCATTTGTAGGGCGTTGTGCTATAAAAAAAAGGTATTTTTAATATTTTTGAAAGAAGAAAATCAGTTAATAGGACATAAGTAGTTAAATAAAACTAACAGAATTGTGTGTACATGAGAGAAAAGCATTGCTTATTGTACTTTCAGTTTCCTTTCTTTCTTTCCTTCACGATCCTTAGTGGAACATAGGGCTTCAAGCTAGAAGCTTGAAGTTTCTGTAGCAGTCTTAATTTTTACAGGATGGGATTGCTAGCCTCATGCTCAACCCTTCCTCTTTACCAGCATTATTTCTGGCTTAGCGAGGTAGAGGAGTGAGTCGGCCGGCGATCGAACCCCGAACCATGTGCATGGTCGGCGATCGTCCTAACCGCTATGCAGCCAACGCACTCTTTCAGTTTCCAGGGAACTGATAACCCTGCTAACTGTTCCAGTCATTTCCTTTTATAGGTATTTATTTATAAACAGAATGGTTGTTTTGTTGGAGGATAACATAGAAGATGGTTTATACAAAATAAAAACCTAAGAATGATTTCGACCAGAAGTCAGATTCTCTACTGAACGATTTATTAATCCAAATTGTTCATCCAATTATCCATTAACTCTTTGTTCACTCTTTCAATAACACGAAAGATCTAAGACCTGGTGTTCACCATCATATCAGTAGCTATTCAAGAAAATATTTTCCTTCCTTAAGGGAATTATCGTTGATGCCTGGTTTAATATTTTCTCACTTTACGTGATCCATTTGAAATTTAGCGAAGAGAGTTAAACTACAAAAGGTTCATGTCTGAATTTAAGGTATAAATAAGTATTTAAGTGGTTTCCTCTTTAATAATATAGACTATTTAGTTTGCTGTACAACCATATGTATTTGAAACTGTATCAGTCATTCGTGTCCGCTGTGATTTCTTACTACACAAGTATTCACTTAAGATGATGATAACAGTGCTTAATAACCCGGTAAAATATTTATCCATTTTGTCTTCATCAAAAGCTTTTGGCTTTTACTTTGACAGAACTTAGACGCTATTATTATAATTTCATTTAATTCCTAGAAGAACATAGGGCTTCAGCTCCGCGTCTCCATTGCGTTCGGTTCTCTGCCAACGTTTTCAAGTCTTCTCCAAGTCAGCCCACATGCTTTCATCTCCTCTTCACATGTCCTCCTCCAAGTCACCCTCGCAATGACGACCAACTCGCCGCTTTCAACTCGGGTTCCAGTCGAGCAATGGCTTGTCTAGTGATGTCACTTGAAGGTCTCCTCAGAGTATGACCAATCCATCTCCATTTCCTCCTGCCTGTTTGTTGCACAATCGGTTCCTGCTGTGTTGGTTCGCTCATTGCCAGAGATCTATCTCTGTTGCTGATCTTTTCTGGCCAGCCATCCGATCTTGAGTATTGAGCGAAGACAGCTGTTAATGAAGGTCTGTAGTTTGTTGGAGATGATGTTTATGACTCACAGTGCAAGTCTCTCATCCGTATAGTAAGTGGCACTGACTTCAAACTGGAGTTGAAAATCCAGATGTTATTTTTGATGCTGAGTGCTGTTGACTTCCAAACAGACTTAAGAGTAATGTAAGCTTGGTTTGCTTTTCTGATTCTGGCTGCTTTGATATCCTCGTCAGTTCCGTTGGCCTGTAGTTGAAACGATGCTTCCCAGGTAGGTAGATAAAGGAGGTTGTTTCTTTCAGGTTCCTCCCATTTATACTAGCTGATTGTTGTCTGTTGTTGTTGTTGCTGTGGTGTTGGCAGAATCTTGATCACCTCTGTTTTCTCTGTGTTCACCTGAAGTTCTATCTTTGATGCTTGTTCTGCCAACTTGTCGCTTTTTACTTGCATATCTTCCAGTTTGTGGGAAATCAGACATATATCATCGGCGAAGTCCAGATCCTCCAAGTTCACGTTATAACATGAAACTCTTATTTCTTTGGAATTTCTTGGCAAGAAGTTTCGAAAATTGTTGTAATTGTTTGCCTTTCAAGCACTGAATCTGTGGATTTAATCTTGTTGATCGACAATACCTATAACTATCTGCTTGCCATTTTGGAACTGTCTACCACTAACTAATATCTATAATTTTATATATTGTTGGATTTACATGTTCAAGCTGGCTGAAGTTAGTGAGTCTATGAACCTGAACTTAGACGTTAGCTGGTGCATTAACTTAGGAAAGTTGTGAAGGCGAAGTTAAACTTCAAGCACTAGTAAATACCAACCAACTACATGATGAAGGCGATTTTTACCTATAAAATACATATATTAACGAATATAAAAGTCATAAAACTGTTACGCAGGATATCTTTTTCTGACTTGTTACAAAAATACATCTCAATTCCGGATTAATGTCAACAAAGTAATTAAATCTCATGCTGTGCATGTAATTATCTAGGTTTTCTAGCCCTGACATTAACCACAATCTCGCCTTAACCTAACCCTAACCTGTCCTTAGCCTAAACTGCGACTTCAGCTTCTTCAAACCTAACCTGAAACTTCCCAGGTATCCCGTTTCCTAACAGAACACTTCATTTAGCATATTTCATTAACGATTACAATATTATTTACCAAGTTTCACAAACTTGCTCACTGAGTATCTTAGGGTGATCAGTGCAATCGCACTCCACTGGTCTTACTGGCGCTTAAATTTTATCTTGGCTATTTTGACAATATACACATACATTTAACCTGGATTAAAAAAAAGTTTCATCACTTTTATGCCAGACAACTGCCTAATAAATTAATTTAGAATTTATTAATTATTAAAAGGTTAAGAATAAAATTGGATGTCAATTTTCATAGTTTTTATCACTATGTCATATGACTAGAATTAGCCTGAAAAAGAAAGCTATTTCAATAATATATTTTGTCTAAACATTTTGTCTACAACGAAAATATATTTTTCAGTATATACATATTTATACGTATGTTCCAATAAAATTTTACTTTTTAAATCAAGAAGTATACCTGAAGGAAACGATTTTGGGTTATTTCCAGTAAATGGTTTATACGATTTTATTTCATATGTTGATCTGGATGATTTTTGTTCAACTTCCTGATCATAATCTATCACATATGATTGTTGATCTTCTTCAACTAGAAAAGATGGACTTTTTTGACCAGAACGTGGTGCTTTCTGTCTAGGATTCATTCGTTTATGTTGTTCTAAAAAAGATAAAGGTAAACAGAGATTAAATGGAAAAATATTTACATAATCAGTAGATGTTATCGCAAAAATGAATTGCATAATTTTTTTAATGAATTGGGCATTTATTTTGTAAAAGAAGACTGAAGTATGTCTTTATCAAAAATGGACAAGGAATATTCGAGAAAAACATTATTCATAATATTTTAGCATGGATTACCATCAGTAAACAACTGTTAACTTTCCGCTCTACTAGCTATTTAAAAGCAAGACAGTAAATAAAATTCCAGCAATCATAAAGTGGAGATTTTCCACCAGGTAGTATATATTCAACCACAGCACTTCTGAAACATCTATTTTTCAGTCAATTGCCTGAGTCCAAAAATGTTAAAAGGATAGATTTAATACTTTCTATACTCTTTTTGCGTTTGATAATGTTTTTCGAGTCTGTATAGTTTTATGTTGGGTCTCAAACTGACGTCAGTAAAAGAACCGTTGGCTAAGAAGTTGGAATTCATTGGACATTGGATCAGGTCTCAGCGGCTGAATGGTCTACAAACTCGTCTTTTAACCAGAAGGTTCTGAAATAAAATCATGGATACCGCGTACTGATGAACAGTCCCAAACTAGGGTGAAGTAACTGTCCAGTACTACGGGGTTGGTTGATCAGTGGTCCTCCAACTTATGTCAGCCCGTGATCAAACATGTAACCAATCGAATCTCTGCAAATCAACACTTGGTAATTATTGTTTTAGTTAAACATATTCACCCTTCTTACAAATAATTAATGCAGCCTTATATATTGATTCGTTGAGTGGGATAACTAAATACCGTAAACACTTAAGTGGAACTAAAAAAATATTGGGAGAATGTAAACAATAACTGGAATTATCCTGAATCACCATTTCTACTATTCGTTGGATATCTCTATAATGACGCTAGTGATCTGGTCGAAAGCAGTAAAAGAATCACTGAGATCAAATTAATACGATATACATGATTTACTGTCTCATTTTTCCACATGGTTAATCAAACTTTAGTGAGTCATACGCAGTCGGAGATTATATTTCAACAGTAAGAAAACACGACTTCATGTGATGAGATCCATGGTAATATTAAACGCTGATAACTGATGTTAAACCATAAAAACTCCTCAGTAACTCCGTCAGGCAACCAAAAAGACCAAAGATGTTTGAGGTATAACATACTCATTGAACATTAAAAATAAATAACCTGAAAACCAAGAAGAATGTTCCCAATAAATGATAAAAAGATGAAATATCTATCTACAAATTTTAAACAAAACAAAACACTTTTTAAGCAAGCGATGGAAGAGCCAGTAGTCACTTGACGCAAACAAAATGCCGGTAGCTGTAAAACAGCAGATTACTTTCAATAGTCCACCATCACAGAATAGTAAAGTGAAGCACTGAAAATAAGAATCAACCAGAAACAAAGACGATTGGTAACACGGTTTATACCAAAAGACTTGCAAATGCTAGCATGCTGTTACATAGGGCGCGATCAAGAATAACAATTACAAAACTGATGAAAGTACTCAAATAGGTACTTAGATTACTCGTCAGACATTTTTAAATGAATCATTCTGCCACGATTACCACGTAACAAGGTACCTGTTATTAGATAAACAGGACTAACTATTGGCTGACTAAGCTCATAAAGATGTTGTTATTATTATCATATCCTTTAATTCCTAGAAGAACACAGGGCTTCAGCTCCGCGTCTCCATTGCGTTCGGTTCTCACCCAACGTTTTCAAGTCTTCTCCAAGTCAGCCCACATGCTTTCATCTTCTCTTCACATGTCCTCCTCCAAGTCACCCTCGCAATGACGACCAACTCGCCGCTTCCCTTTCAGGTTCCACTCGAGCAATGGCTTGTCTAGTGATGTCACTTGCGGGTTTCCTCAGAGTATGGCCAATTCATCTCCATTTCTTCCTGCCTATTTGTTGCACAATCAGTTCCTGGTTGTTGATATAAGAATAAAACGTTTGCACTCTGGTAGAGTGTAATTCCATTATGGGTAAATTTGTGTTGATTTGGCAGTTGTATTTTCCATACTACTGCCAATCAAATCAAGTGAAAATCAAGTGAAAAATAATGGAAGTATACAAATGAAGTTAGGAAGTCGTGTGAGTACCTTGATATGATTATGAGCAATAAATTGTGCTCGAACCGTCATCAGTAAACATTACTGTATAACACTGTGAGACTTTAACAGTTCCTGGTTGGTTTGCCACCAGAGGTCCCTATTTCTGATCTTTCCTGGCCAGCCATCTGATCTTGAGTATTGAGCGAAGACAGCTGTTAATGAAGGTCTGTAGTTTGTTTGAGGTGATCTTTATGACGCGCAATGCAAGTCTCTGATCCGTATAGTAGAACTGACTTCAAATTATTTTTAACGCTGAATGCTGTTGCCCCCACACAGACTTGAAAGAAATATAAGCTTGCCTTGCTTTCGCGATTCTCGTCAGTTCCGTTGGCCTGTAGTTGAAACGATGGTTCCCAGGTCGGTGGGTGAAGGAGGTTGCTTCCTTCAGGTTCCTCCCATTTGTGCTCGCTGATTGTTGTCTGTTGCTGGCCAGGAATCTTCATCACCTCTGTTTTCTCTGTGTTCACCTGAAGGAAGTCCTATCTTCTCTGGATGCTTGTTCTACCACCTTGTTGCTTTTCACTTGCATATCTTCCAGTTTGTGGGAAATCAGACAAACATATGTAATCGGCGAAGTCCAGATCCTCCACGTTTTTTGTGTGATTCCATTTTATGCCTGTTTGCTGATTGCCCGTTGTCCGTCACATTATCCAATCTACTGCAATCAGGAAAATTATTGGCGATAGTAGACAGCCCTGCTTCACTCCCGTCCTCACTTCGAAGGCTTCCGTAAGTTTCCCGTTGTGGATTACTTGGCATGCAGCATTGTCGTACAACTATTGGATGAGATGTATAATTGTCAATGGCACCTCGTTGTAGCAAAACATTTTAAATACTTGATAAATCATTCCTAGCATCTATCCTACAATTTTAGTCTCTCATAAAAAGAAAAACTTCGAATACACGTAAATTTCCATGCAATCGTGAATAAAAATTCATAAATAAAAAAAATAGGAATTATGAATGAATTGTTTGTGCAAATAGATTAAAACCTTGAAGACAAAAATTAATCCTGCCTACCGTAAGCTAATTCCGCTTCATTTAAATTAATAATTTGTTGTTGCTCTGAAATAGGATTTGGAGGGATTAATTTAACATTTGTAGGTATTAACACATTATTATTCTTTGTTGATTGATTTTCATTAAAGCGTGATGAATTATTTTCACTTTCTGTGTTTTGATTGTACGCGTTAATTTGATTATTATTGTTAGTGTTTGTAATTAAAGTAACATTATTTGTATTGTTATTGTTGTTATTATTATTATTATCAAGTAAATATTCATCTAGTCGACAACGTTCTGATTCATTTTGTTTAAATGATACAATTGGGGAAGTCTTCCGTAAAATCATTGAACCAGTATATGGATTTACTTCGTAATTATCCAGCCTAGATGACTGTCCACTGTCACCAGAATCTAAAAAAATATAGAATATTTTGAAAAATAATTAGAATATTCTTTCACAGGTGCATAACTATTCTTATTTAGACTGGAAGTGTAGATCAAAAAACATGAGAGAGGTGGGCGAAAGAAATTGATGAAGTTTTATCGCGTGTAATTTCATCTTTGAGATGGTAGGATAAAGAAAGAGCAATTTTACTCAAAATGCTAAACAATGAACACAGACATAATGGTAATAAGACAAAGAATAATATTTTTTTAGATTTAAGAGAGTGATACAGTGTTATTTATTTACTGATGATGTTCTGAGCACAGTTAACTGCTCACAAATATATCAAAGTAATTGCATAGCTTTCTGACTTAGTTAACAGGGTTCTTTTATTTCTCATCTTTTAGTGTTATTAATATTAGTATTTTCCATATATCTGGTACTGGTATTACAGATATTCTAATTCACTAATTCGTCTTGGATCTGATATCAGAGATTAATGAAAACAAAATACATAGGTGAGCTAAGCGGTTGTTTTCAACGAAATCACTTTATTTAACTTAGCAATCTCATATAAAAATTTTTCGTGGGAGAAGGTAGTAACAACCAGCGATGATGAGTTGTCATTATCATAGTTATTATTATTAGTTAATTCATAAGAAGAATTGAATGAATAAATTAGAAATACGTAATAAGATGAATAATTTACTGAACGAGTTTCAATCAGGATGCACATAGAAACGAAAGGAAATATGAAGTTATGAAATACAAAAGTTATCTTGTGTTAGAAAAACAAACAAACGAAAATCAAGGTGATCGTCTTGTATACCTCTTTTCTGAACTATTGGTTTTATTCATTTGTTTATTGTCTGTATGGGATTTATTGATGAACTGAGAAGTATCAGAGATTAAGTGGTCAATCTCTCTCTCAAACTTGTTGTATGACATCCTGGATCTGTAGCTCCTGCTCAACCTACTACGTCATTGTGCGCCAGTTCACGTACAGCAAAGCTAGAATTTTCCTCTGAAATGGTCATTTGATAGCCAAACTTATATTTTCTGATGACCTGACCAACACCGATCTTATGAGTTGACTGATACAGCTGAGCTCACAGCAACTGAATCTTTGTTCATCGAACCTATGATTGACCTCCAAAGGAGGAATGACGCAACGTTTTTACTGGAGATATGAAAAGCATGATCACCAGTAAAACCAAAGGACAAGAAGTTATAAAAACGTTTGAAACAATCCGAAAAATTATATGGGTAAGAAAAGTGAGTGATACTCAAAGCGTCATCGGTAAATACTTAATACTCTATTGTTCTGTGTCATTTTGAACAAAATTATTCTGTTATGAAATTATTGGAGTTCTTAAAGGATATTTTATGACACATCAAACACCCGACAAACAGAAATTCAACGTATACAAAGAAGATGAGACATCAGTCTAAGTACATTACATTATTAAGCACCCCTCTAATGAACAGTGACAAATGAAATGTCAAATACAATTATTTAAAATGAAAGTTTCAGAGGGAGAACTTGTGAGGACTTCACCTTGACGCGCTTTTCGATTACTACGTTGCACACATCTAGCTATATAAAATTCTTTCTTTTGTGGAATTTCTTGCCAAGGACTTTTGGAAAGTAGTGTGACTATTTGCCTTTCAAACACTGAATCTGTGGACATAATCTTGTTGACTGATAATACCTATAACTGTCTGCTTGCCATTTTGTGGATGTCTAACACTAACAAATATCTATAAGTGTTTATATCTATTATTTTGCATATTGATGGATTTACATGTCCAGGTTGCCTCAATTCAGTGAGTCTATGATTTTGATATCATTTTTTAACTATATCATTGTTATTGCCACTTGTTGCCCTTCGTGTTGTGCATTGTTTTCCTTTTGCTGGTGTTGTTCTGATTGTTCTATTCCTTGTTTTCCTGGTTTTAAGAGGAGCAATCCACAAGGTCGCTCCTCTGTAAACTATATTTTAATGTAACAACCTCCTTCTCAGGCGTGAGGCTAGCAAAGCCACCCTGTAAGCGAAGTTGATACAGAAACTTTAGTCCGAAAAATCTCCTTGTGTCAAAAGAAAAAGGTCTGTGTGTGGACATGGAACCTCCGCACCATGGCAAGCTGCGCAGATCTTAAACGAGATGAAAAGATACGGAATTCAAGTACTGGGAATATGTGAAAGCAGATGGAATGGGAGTGGACTCACCAAATTGTCAACGGGTGAGTCAGTGATCTACTCCAGTCACCTAGAAGATAACCACACGCACACCGAGGGCGTGGCTATCATGATGTCACCAGCGGACACAAAGGCCCTGATGCAATGGGAGGCGATCTCGTCCAGGATAATGACCGCCAGATTCAACTCCAAAGGAAGGAAAGTGTCAATTATACAATGTTATGCACCCACAAACAACGCAGACCTCGAAAAGAAAGAAGAATTCTACAGACAACTACAGGTAACAATGGACAATACCCTAGCTGGTGACATTAAAATACTAATGAGAGACATGAACGCCAAGCTAGGACCAGACAACACAGGAAGCGAACTCATCATGGGTGGAGTAGCCCTCGGAGAAATGAATGAAAATGGAGAACTCTTCGCCGATTTCTGCCCCTTCAATGAACTGGTGATTGGTGGCAGTGTATACAAACACAAAGATATCCACGAGACTACATGGGTGTCACCAGATGGGCAAACCGAAAACGTAATTGACTTCATCTCAACGTGAGAACACAATAATTTAAATATTAAAATTGAGCTTTATTATTATTGCTTTTAAAAAAAATCTTACCGATAGTTCTCAATTCAAAAACAAATCCACTATTCCCACCTGCGACTAGCGATTGCCTACTTTCAACTCGGGATATAGAACAAAGCTCAATCCTCAAGTTTATAAAACAGTGAGTCAAATCTACAATCATTATCAATTTTAAAATACATTTTATTTCAATTACCCTACTTAAAAAAATAGACCATCGTCTGCCTACACTTCCGGATATAATCGCAGATACTGCAAAGGTGTCGGAAGTTTTGAGTACAGTCCAAAGTGAACTCATTTGGAAAACAGTATAAGTGTTAGTTTCTCATTTCAACGAAATGCATGCACATACTTACTTAAAAGTTACCTTTTTATTCACAAAAACTGCTAGTGAATAAAAAGGTTAGAGGTTTATAAAGTTCTCTACAAAATACACATTTTATGATGCATTTGAAACTAACGAAAGTTATTACCGATGCGTTCAATCAGTTTATTTGATACAAAAGGTTGGTCTCTAAAACACTTGTGTATTAATGAAACTAAACTGAGAAAACTAATGTATATTAGAAGACAACTTGTTAACAATTATTAGTTTTGCTTTCTGCTTAATTAAAGTTCCTCTGAATTCTGATAAAATGAACTAAAATTCTACCAAGTGTTTTCTTTGTGAAATTGTTTTAGATATTACATCATGTTTACAACTAATCAACAATCCTTCTACGTAAAGATTTTCTGAGAAATTGAATTTGCTTCCTGCTTTTTATTAAAATTCATCGCAGGACTATAATGAAGTCCAAAAGACATCTCGGATGTCTTTGGTTAAAGTTAGTCGCAACAAAACGTACATTTTCAATAAGGCAGTAAGCTTAAAAACTACAGAGGAGTATGCAATTAGTGAGTTACATCTACTATAAGAGACTAGTTCTCCTGTCTCCTTTATAATATCGAAATAAAAGTTTCGTATATTAAAGACCTGTAGTTCAGCCGGATGATACTGGTGTAGTTGTGTTTCTTGAGTTGAATAGTTTAACTGAGAAGCTTTCATTGTCTTCATAACCTAAGTAAGCGACAAGACTGTTGTTCAGAAAAAAGATAATGAAGGCTTCGTGAATAAGCCATCCAGCTTAGAAAATACAACTACGCCAAACTTTGCTGTAATATTCGCTTGCTGACTACTGTCTTTTATTAGACGTTTTCAACAGACGATCTGCTATATTATTTTAATGAGATGTTATCACATTTTAAGAATAAATTTATGGTGAATTAGTTATTTTTTTATTCACTTAAAATCATGCACTTTCCGATGAGAATAGGGTAGTTGTGAAGATATCTGATACGGATGAACATCTTAAGCTTATTGGAAGAAATAAGACTAATTCTTAATCAATGCATAAGGCACTGGATTCGAATAATCCTGAATTCGGGCGCTTACTTTGAATTTTATCTTAAAGTACCATGCGCGTGATTCACTCAGATTCTCAGAATTTTCAATGAACAGTTTCCAGTGAAACGTCTTTTTTTACAGTTCTTGGCAATACCTGAATTGAATGGTACGATGTTTTCATCGGCTTCTAATAAAATTCTACCTACGAAATGCGGATTGTTACCAATGATGCCCACACTTTGAGGCGATATTAAAAAATCAAATCAATGTATACTGTGATGGCAAGCTGACTAGAATGGTGACTATATTGCAAATCTGACTGACAGAATTCAGTCTTCACCAAAGAAAGGACTAGAACATCACACCGTTACTAGTGTTAAATCAAAGTATTCGCTACAGTCCTACAGGAGGTCAATCGCGAACCCGAATAGTTCAGTGGTAACGTCTCTGACTGCAGCAATGGGTGACGTGGGTTCGAATCTCAGAAGGGACATGATTTTCTTCGAGGCTGCAGATACGCCTAGCTTACAAGTGTCAACTAGCACAAAATTCAGGTCTAAGGCTTCGTGCCGATTGCCTCCAACCATCCAGTATTAACAAAAATAAAGTTAACTAGGTGAATGAGTAAGTCGGTTGGGGAACGAATCTTGTATCACACGCGTGGTTGGCGAGCATTCTACGCCATGCCACCGACGTACTATTGTTATTGATTCACAATAATTTTCCATAGATTACAAATTTTTCTATATAAGCATTGAGAATTTGGGTCATAACTCTTGTCATTTGAAATAACAATTTACTTCCCTGAAAAATTCCCGCTTCTCATAGCCTTTGAAAAAAATGGTAGATATTTATTGA